TCCCCCATCGCCAAATAACTCCAAAATATTTATGAAAAACACAAATATTGAAACTTTCAAAAAATTATTGAACAATAGTATTAACTTAAATATGGACATAATCAGTCCCGATGACATAGACGATGCAGTAGATCTGCTAGTTTCCAAAATTCGCTTTTGTGCCACAGCAGCCACCCCCACTAACAATACCCAGTCTCTTTTTCCAAATTCCTTTCGCCCTCCTCTTAAAGCCGAAGCTTTAGAACTGGCAAGATTAAAGCGCCAACTAAGAAAACGATATATTCGTACTCGCTCTCCCCTTGATAGAGCTGACTGGCTTTTCGTAGCCCGTACTCTTTCCACTTTTTTAAAGCGTATGCGTTCCTCGTACTTTAACTACCTACTAGAAAATGCTGATCCGAACAAAAAAGGAGGCTTCAATTTATGGCGCGTCACCAAGCACCTAAAAACTCAGCCTCACATGGTCTCCCCCATAAAAGATTCGGCTGGTAATTGGTGTACTACCCCTTTGGAAGTGGCTGAAGTTTTCGCTAATGAACTCGAAAGCCGCTTCACTCCTCATAACTTTTGCTCACAAGCCCATACACAACAAGTCCTGCAGGCCTTGGAGAATGATGAAATTCTCATAGAACCGAATATTCCTATTCGTCATGTAAGTCCTACCGAACTTAAATCTTACATCTCAAGTATGAAACTTAAAAAAGCTCCTGGCTTAGACAACATCACAAATTTGGTTCTGCGCTCTTTACCTCATAAAGCAATCTTGTTCCTCGTCAAAATATTCAATATTATGTTGTGGCTGCGGTATTTTCCAAAAAATTGGAAAAATGCAGCAGTGACCATGATTCCAAAAAGTGGCCGCTCGTTAAGCCAAATAAATGACTACAGGCCAATTAGCCTCTTATCGTCACTATCCAAACTGTTCGAGATGGTTATTAGCGAACGCTTAAATGACGTGCTCGACAAATGTCACATTATACCCGACCATCAATTTGGCTTTCGTAAAGAGCATAGCACCATTCAACAAGTACATCGTATAGTCAATCATGTACATCGGGCTTTTGACCAGGAACAGTTCACATCTGCCATTTTTCTTGATATCGAACAAGCGTTCGATAGGGTTTGGCATGTTGGTCTATTATATAAATTGAAAAAATTTTTGCCGTATCCATTATTTGAACTCTTCCAATCATACCTTTCAAATCGCACGTTCTGCGTAAAAGAAAGGGGCTGCGTCTCATCAATACGTCCTGCTCTTGCTGGAGTTCCACAGGGTAGCATACTTGGCCCCACTCTCTACAATATATATGTCAGTGATATGCCACTACCCATTGTACACAAATTTTCGCGAAGCAATTGCCTTATTGCAACCTATGCAGACGACACTGCTATTTTATTTAGTGATCCTTCTCCGCACACAGCTACTTACAATATGAATAATTACCTATGCACCTTCTCGAACTGGGCTATGTCCTGGAACATTAAAATCAACAGCAGAAAATCCTCCCACATGTCATTTACATGGCGTACTGGTAGAATGCCAGATGTCACTTTTGACAATGTCGTCATTCCTAAGAAATCCACCGTCAAATATTTGGGCCTAAATCTGGATGGCAAATTGCTTTGGAACAAGCACGCTAACGTTATCAAAAAGTCTCTTTTGGGCAAACTTCAAAAATATAACTGGCTCATAAATCCCCAGTCCCGGTTAAGTACTAAAAATAAACTTTTGATTTATAAACAAATCATAGCGCCAACTTGGAAATACGGCATAGAATTGTGGGGATGTGCGGCAGATGTCCATATCCGAGCCATCCAGATTATCCAAAATAAAACCTTGCGCCTCTGTACTGGCTCAATTCCCTTTGTCCGAAACTTTGATATTCATCAAGCCTTCAATTTCTCGTCTGTGTGGGACGAAATAAATCTTCACTCGAGCAGATACAACGCAAAAACCACTAATCACCAGAACATTCTTGTTCGTGACCTTCTAAGGCAATTTTCAAGGGGTGGCCCACACGTTCGATATCGGCCAAACGACTTGCCGGATAGAGCCCCTCCTCCTAATGCTCTCTAATCTTTACTATTGGGTTTTCCCTGCATCGACTATCGTTTTGTGCTACTTTTCTCAACTTTTGAACTACCGCCTTTCCTATTGCTGCTTGGCCTGTGTGACGACTGTGCACGTCATGCGGGCACGGCGGGCTTGACCCGAACCCACTTTGCGAAAATTTTTCGCGGATGGGTTTTGGGAGGAGGGGGGTGGTTTTTCCCCGTGGAAGGGGCCTAGATCCGTGTATAGAAGTTTTTCACTCCTATAAATACAGTTGGATGCTGGGTCCCTTCGCGTCCTGCCCGGATGTGTATGGGTCTGGCTGACCTGTGCTCCTTTTGCTGTATCTATACAGCGATTTTTGGAGCGCGCTTTGGTCGGTTCCATGCAGAAGTTAACTTTTTTCCTTTTCCTTTCTGTTAAACCATTTCGGGCTTTCTACTTATTTTCTTCTCTACCTCTTCTATAATTCTATTTTTTCTCTAAAGGCGAACGACGGTACCTATTAAGGCCGTTTTAAAGTAAACAAATATAATTATACTTATCTCAATAACAAAATTACACAAATTCCACATTGAATAAAATTAACTACTCAAACGCTACGTAAAAGTATTAAACAATAAATTTTACCCGGAATCTGCAATTCTTCTTATCCTCATCATGCCTGGAAAATTCTGGGCCATTTGATGCTGCTTTTGTGGCGGAGCATTGATCCACGAAACCGATTACTTGTCCATTCTGCGAATCGCATGAAGCATCGAAATTGATTTCGAAAATTTTCTGGATTGCAACTCAAGTACCTTCACCCAATATTTCCTCACTTCTTGGTATCCGGAATTTACATTCAGCCGTGCTGAAACAATAAACAAATGCAGCATTAATACAAATCTCCGTTAGAGCGTTTGAAGTGGGATAAGATTTGGTCACCACATTCTGGATATCCACAGCGGAGGAACAAAGAAAATCATGCTGTCAGCTATTTTGCCGGAGATTCGTAACCTGCAGCCAACGCTTTCTCTCCTGGCATTTGGAATGTGCATCCATATACTATGCAACTAGTAACAAACGAAATATAAATACATAAAATCGGTACAAATTTAAATAATCATGCCTATAACTAACTATAACCTACAACAAATAAATTATTAAGTTACAGTATATAACAACTACCTTAAAATTCACTTAATTCAAACAATAACAAATACTTAAGCTCTTCAAAATCTCCGCCATGCCTACAAGCCAAACATCGTTTCATCTGGAGCTTCTGCCTGGAGTTCTGGTTTGCTCGTCTCTACTTCGAGGTTCATCTTGGAAACTTTATTGCCCTGCTCACGTCCTCTATGCTGTTCATTCCTCAGTGTCTGAAGCCAACGTTGTATGGCGCTGAAACATAAATAAATAAATTATCTATATCAAACTCTATAAGTAACAATTTGTTATTTCATAAATTACATTACACAAATTTTTAACTTACACACATATTAACAGTTCAAACATATTCACGTCACATCAAAATAAATAATTAATAAACTCACAAATTATTATTCTAATACAGCAGCCTCATCAAAACATATTATTAAACTACATCCACATTTCATAATTTAACTACTCCAACAAATACACATATTCATCAAATTTCATACAACATTACGCTAATTCAAACAATAATAACTTTTCGCATACCATACAAATTAACAATATAAATCAACTAATAAATTAAAATTTTAACCCTCCTTGCCTTCGTCACGCTTGGGAAACTCTTGGGCCACCTGATGCGGTCCTGTTGATGGAGCCTTGCTCTCTGGATCTGACACCACACCTGGAGTATCCATAGCGGAGCAAAGAAATCCATGCTGCCATCTTTTCTGCCATAGGTCGTGACTGCAGCCGACGCCTCTCCCATTGGTACCTGGAACCTGCATCCATCTCTCTGAAGCAAAACTTCGCCAAACCTGTTGCCCTTCTTCAGTGTCAACGTTATATGGCGCTGAAACATAAATAAATAAATAAAGTATTAATATAAAACTTTACAAGTACCAATTTGGTATTTTACTAATTACTATATACAAACTCTTAATTTACACACACATCAACAGTCTAAACATATTCATGTCACATCAAAATAAATAATTCGTAAACTCATAAATTATCATTCTTAAACTGCAGCTTCATCAAATCACATTAATAAACTACATTTACACTTCATAAACATTTAACAAATATACATATTCTTTAAATTCCATTTTATCAAACAATATTTACGCCAATTCAAATAATAATAACTTTTCGCATTCCATTCAAACTAACAATACAAATCAATTAATTCACTAAATTAAAATAATAACAAATATTCAAATTTACTTTATAAATAAATATATAAAAACTTTCGTCAAATCTCCGCCTCGCCTACAAGCCAAACATCGTTTCAACTGGAGCCTCTGCCTGGAGTTCTGGTTTTCCCGTCTCCTCTTCGAGGTCCATCTCGGCAACTTTCTGGCTTTGCTCATGTTTTGTATGCTGCATCTCTTCAGTATCCGGATCCATCATTATATGGAGCTGGAAAAATTAAATAAAATATTATCATAAAACTACATATAAATGGTAAACAAACTACATAAGAAGTCCTTTAACATACTCACGACACATCACAATAAAATCACAATAAAATAATTCATAAATTCACAAATTAATATCTAAATATAATAGCCTCATTACATATCCACGTCATATCACAATAAAATAATTCATAAATTCACAAATTAATACTCAGAAATAATAGCTTCATTAAATTACATTTTACACTATATAAACATTTAACTACTCTAATAAATACACATATTCATCAAATTCCAATTTTTCATACAATATTACGCTAATTCAAATAATAATAACTTCTCGCATTCCATACAAATTAACAATATAAATCAACTAATAAATTAAAATTTTAACCCTCCTTGCCTTCGTCACGCTTGGGAAACTCTTGGGCCACCTGATGCGGTCCTGTTGATGGAGCCTTGCTCTCTGGATCTGACACCACACCTGGAGTATCCATAGCGGAGCAAAGAAATCCATGCTGCCATCTTTTCTGCCATAGGTCGTGACTGCAGCCGACGCCTCTCCCATTGGTACCTGGAACCTGCATCCATCTCTCTGAAGCAAAACTTCGCCAAACCTGTTGCCCTTCTTCAGTGTCAACGTTATATGGCGCTGAAACATAAATAAATAAATAAAGTATTAATATAAAACTTTACAAGTACCAATTTGGTATTTTACTAATTACTATATACAAACTCTTAATTTACACACACATCAACAGTCTAAACATATTCATGTCACATCAAAATAAATAATTCGTAAACTCATAAATTATCATTCTTAAACTGCAGCTTCATCAAATCACATTAATAAACTACATTTACACTTCATAAACATTTAACAAATATACATATTCTTTAAATTCCATTTTATCAAACAATATTTACGCCAATTCAAATAATAATAACTTTTCGCATTCCATTCAAACTAACAATACAAATCAATTAATTCACTAAATTAAAATAATAACAAATATTCAAATTTACTTTATAAATAAATATATAAAAACTTTCGTCAAATCTCCGCCTCGCCTACAAGCCAAACATCGTTTCAACTGGAGCCTCTGCCTGGAGTTCTGGTTTTCCCGTCTCCTCTTCGAGGTCCATCTCGGCAACTTTCTGGCTTTGCTCATGTTTTGTATGCTGCATCTCTTCAGTATCCGGATCCATCATTATATGGAGCTGGAAAAATTAAATAAAATATTATCATAAAACTACATATAAATGGTAAACAAACTACATAAGAAGTCCTTTAACATACTCACGACACATCACAATAAAATCACAATAAAATAATTCATAAATTCACAAATTAATATCTAAATATAATAGCCTCATTACATATCCACGTCATATCACAATAAAATAATTCATAAATTCACAAATTAATACTCAGAAATAATAGCTTCATTAAATTACATTTTACACTATATAAACATTTAACTACTCTAATAAATACACATATTCATCAAATTCCAATTTTTCATACAATATTACGCTAATTCAAATAATAATAACTTCTCGCATTCCATACAAATTAACAATATAAATCAACTAATAAATTAAAATTTTAACCCTCCTTGCCTTCGTCACGCTTGGGAAACTCTTGGGCCACCTGATGCGGTCCTGTTGATGGAGCCTTGCTCTCTGGATCTGACACCACACCTGGAGTATCCATAGCGGAGCAAAGAAATCCATGCTGCCATCTTTTCTGCCATAGGTCGTGACTGCAGCCGACGCCTCTCCCATTGGTACCTGGAACCTGCATCCATCTCTCTGAAGCAAAACTTCGCCAAACCTGTTGCCCTTCTTCAGTGTCAACGTTATATGGCGCTGAAACATAAATAAATAAATAAAGTATTAATATAAAACTTTACAAGTACCAATTTGGTATTTTACTAATTACTATATACAAACTCTTAATTTACACACACATCAACAGTCTAAACATATTCATGTCACATCAAAATAAATAATTCGTAAACTCATAAATTATCATTCTTAAACTGCAGCTTCATCAAATCACATTAATAAACTACATTTACACTTCATAAACATTTAACAAATATACATATTCTTTAAATTCCATTTTATCAAACAATATTTACGCCAATTCAAATAATAATAACTTTTCGCATTCCATTCAAACTAACAATACAAATCAATTAATTCACTAAATTAAAATAATAACAAATATTCAAATTTACTTTAATAAATAAATATATAAAAACTTTCGTCAAATCTCCGCCTCGCCTACAAGCCAAATATCGTTTCAACTGGAGCCTCTGCCTGGAGTTCTGGTTTTCCCGTCTCCTCTTCGAGGTCCATCTCGGCAACTTTCTGGCTTCGCTTTTGCTGCATCTCCTCAGTGTCTGGAACCAACATTATATGGAGCTGAAAAAATTAAATAAAACATTATCATAAAACATCATAAAAATGGTAAACCAGCTACATAAGCAGTTCTCAACATACCCACGTCACATCATAATAAAATAACTCATAAATTCACAAATTAATACTTAATTATAATAGCTTCATTACATATCCACGTCACATCACAATAAAATAACTCATAAATTAATACTCAAATAAAATAACTTCATAAATTACACTTCACATTACATAAATATTTCATTACTCTAATAAATACATTTATCAAACTCCATCAAACAATATTATGCTAATTCAAATAAATATAACTTTTCGCATCTCATACAATTTAATAATAAATTAAAATCTCAACCCTCCTTGCCTTCATCACGCTTGGGAAATTCTTGCGCCACCTGACGTGGTCCCGTTGATGGAGCCCTGCTCTCTGGACCTGACACCACACTTGGAGTATCCATAGCGGAGCAAAATAAATCCATGCAGCCATCCTTTATGCCTACTCATCATCATGCAATTAAACTCACCTGGGTCAGCTATGGTCATTACTCTGGCTTCGGCAACTTACACGTTTTCCCATCGCATCCGGAATTTAATCCGCATGGCGCTAAACAAATTAACGCCTCACGGCTCGGATTCCTCGGCCCACACAAGGCGGCTCTGTCCTTGGTTGAGCCGGGCACCCGATAATCGGCTACTACAACCGTTGGAGCTTCTGTTTCCGCTTCTAATCCTGGTCCTGCTTACTCGTCGATCCTAAAATTAAAGTAAAAATTTAAGCTTTTACACAATTCTTATTTAAATTCACTCTTACATAAACTCTTAATTTAACATTTTGTAAATTCTTAATCGCATATAGTTAAACTGTTCTTTATTCAAATGCAAAAATCGCTCATAATGTTCAAATTTATACACTCTCTCTCATTTATGCAAACTTTGTGACCCTAATATTAACTCTTTTGTAATTACATAAGTTATGTATTTTATACTACTTTGGTGCTCCTTTGAGGGATGGGGCACCTACATCACAATGCTTCCGCTTTTTTCCGCTTCCCCTCCACTCAATCATCCACGGAAGGATTAAATCGTTTAATTTACGCTGCTGCCTCCTCACTAAATGCACTAACTTTAAGGCCAATTTTTGTATTTAACATAAGTTATTGTAAATCGAATTTTATGGCCAGTGCGCCAAAATATAGACTAAACTATTAAAAAAAAAAAAAAAAAAAAAGCGATCTATTGTTGTTGTTATTGCTATTTCAAGCTAGTGATGGTATATTTAATAATATACATTGTAATGCGTGAGTGAGTTGCTGCTGCTGCTGCTGCTAAACAAATGCGTGCATCGTTCATTAAACAATAATATAATGTTGTACTATGGTACATGTGTACTATATATGTATATGTTAAACAAATAATTATTATTAATTATGCCTGCCATCTGCCGGCGGCTGCCGCTGCCACTGCCACTGCCGCTGCCGCATATATAAAATGCATCAAAAATTATAATTATAATATGAATATAAATAAAACGTTCATTATTTATTTGTCGCCTGCCATCTGCCATTTGCCGCCATATAATATATTAAAAATCATTTAATTAATTGTGTACACCATCATATTGTTGTGTAAATGTCGTCAGGAAACATCAATCAGCAATCAGCAATATACTGGCAATGGTCAAGCCGAAATGATGCAATGCTTCAATGTTGCAATGCCCTGTGCTGCTATACACTGCCTATACAATAACAAACAACTCAACAACACAACAAACTGTATGCATATCAACACACAGCAACATCTTTAGCAATAGCAACATAAAAATGTTTCCCGTACTATTTCTGCAATGGCACACAAGTACCGCAAATTATTCTTCTTCTGCTGCTGGCTGCTGCTGCTTCTGCCGCCGCTACTCTATCTACTCTCTCATTCTCTCTATATGGTATTGCAAATGGCCGCCATGCGATCTATTGTTGTTGTTATTGCTATTTCAAGCTAGTGATGGTATATTTAATAATATACATTGTAATGCGTGAGTGAGTTGCTGCTGCTGCTGCTGCTAAACAAATGCGTGCATCGTTCATTAAACAATAATATAATGTTGTACTATGGTACATGTCTACTATATATGTATATGTTAAACAAATAATTATTATTAATTATGCCTGCCATCTGCCGGCGGCTGCCGCTGCCACTGCCACTGCCGCTGCCGCATATATAAAATGCATCAAAAATTATAATTATAATATGAATATAAATAAAACGTTCATTATTTATTTGTCGCCTGCCATCTGCCATTTGCCGCCATATAATATATTAAAAATCATTTAATTAATTGTGTACACCATCATATTGTTGTGTAAATGTCGTCAGGAAACATCAATCAGCAATCAGCAATATACTGGCAATGGTCAAGCCGAAATGATGCAATGCTTCAATGTTGCAATGCCCTGTGCTGCTATACACTGCCTATACAATAACAAACAACTCAACAACACAACAAACTGTATGCATATCAACACACAGCAACATCTTTAGCAATAGCAACATAAAAATGTTTCCCGTACTATTTCTGCAATGGCACACAAGTACCGCAAATTATTCTTCTTCTGCTGCTGGCTGCTGCTGCTTCTGCCGCCGCTACTCTATCTACTCTCTCATTCTCTCTATATGGTATTGCAAATGGCCGCCATGCGATCTATTGTTGTTGTTATTGCTATTTCAAGCTAGTGATGGTATATTTAATAATATACATTGTAATGCGTGAGTGAGTTGCTGCTGCTGCTGCTGCTAAACAAATGCGTGCATCGTTCATTAAACAATAATATAATGTTGTACTATGGTACATGTGTACTATATATGTATATGTTAAACAAATAATTATTATTAATTATGCCTGCCATCTGCCGGCGGCTGCCGCTGCCACTGCCACTGCCGCTGCCGCATATATAAAATGCATCAAAAATTATAATTATAATATGAATATAAATAAAACGTTCATTATTTATTTGTCGCCTGCCATCTGCCATTTGCCGCCATATAATATATTAAAAATCATTTAATTAATTGTGTACACCATCATATTGTGAATATAAATAAAACGTTCATTATTTATTTGTCGCCTGCCATCTGCCATTTGCCGCCATATAATATATTAAAAATCATTTAATTAATTGTGTACACCATCATATTGTTGTGTAAATGTCGTCAGGAAACATCAATCAGCAATCAGCAATATACTGGCAATGGTCAAGCCGAAATGATGCAATGCTTCAATGTTGCAATGCCCTGTGCTGCTATACACTGCCTATACAATAACAAACAACTCAACAACACAACAAACTGTATGCATATCAACACACAGCAACATCTTTAGCAATAGCAACATAAAAATGTTTCCCGTACTATTTCTGCAATGGCACACAAGTACCGCAAATTATTCTTCTTCTGCTGCTGGCTGCTGCTGCTTCTGCCGCCGCTACTCTATCTACTCTCTCATTCTCTCTATATGGTATTGCAAATGGCCGCCATGCGATCTATTGTTGTTGTTATTGCTATTTCAAGCTAGTGATGGTATATTTAATAATATACATTGTAATGCGTGAGTGAGTTGCTGCTGCTGCTGCTGCTAAACAAATGCGTGCATCGTTCATTAAACAATAATATAATGTTGTACTATGGTACATGTGTACTATATATGTATATGTTAAACAAATAATTATTATTAATTATGCCTGCCATCTGCCGGCGGCTGCCGCTGCCACTGCCACTGCCGCTGCCGCATATATAAAATGCATCAAAAATTATAATTATAATATGAATATAAATAAAACGTTCATTATTTATTTGTCGCCTGCCATCTGCCATTTGCCGCCATATAATATATTAAAAATCATTTAATTAATTGTGTACACCATCATATTGTGAATATAAATAAAACGTTCATTATTTATTTGTCGCCTGCCATCTGCCATTTGCCGCCATATAATATATTAAAAATCATTTAATTAATTGTGTACACCATCATATTGTTGTGTAAATGTCGTCAGGAAACATCAATCAGCAATCAGCAATATACTGGCAATGGTCAAGCCGAAATGATGCAATGCTTCAATGTTGCAATGCCCTGTGCTGCTATACACTGCCTATACAATAACAAACAACTCAACAACACAACAAACTGTATGCATATCAACACACAGCAACATCTTTAGCAATAGCAACATAAAAATGTTTCCCGTACTATTTCTGCAATGGCACACAAGTACCGCAAATTATTCTTCTTCTGCTGCTGGCTGCTGCTGCTTCTGCCGCCGCTACTCTATCTACTCTCTCATTCTCTCTATATGGTATTGCAAATGGCCGCCATGCGATCTATTGTTGTTGTTATTGCTATTTCAAGCTAGTGATGGTATATTTAATAATATACATTGTAATGCGTGAGTGAGTTGCTGCTGCTGCTGCTGCTAAACAAATGCGTGCATCGTTCATTAAACAATAATATAATGTTGTACTATGGTACATGTGTACTATATATGTATATGTTAAACAAATAATTATTATTAATTATGCCTGCCATCTGCCGGCGGCTGCCGCTGCCACTGCCACTGCCGCTGCCGCATATATAAAATGCATCAAAAATTATAATTATAATATGAATATAAATAAAACGTTCATTATTTATTTGTCGCCTGCCATCTGCCATTTGCCGCCATATAATATATTAAAAATCATTTAATTAATTGTGTACACCATCATATTGTTGTGTAAATGTCGTCAGGAAACATCAATCAGCAATCAGCAATATACTGGCAATGGTCAAGCCGAAATGATGCAATGCTTCAATGTTGCAATGCCCTGTGCTGCTATACACTGCCTATACAATAACAAACAACTCAACAACACAACAAACTGTATGCATATCAACACACAGCAACATCTTTAGCAATAGCAACATAAAAATGTTTCCCGTACTATTTCTGCAATGGCACACAAGTACCGCAAATTATTCTTCTTCTGCTGCTGGCTGCTGCTGCTTCTGCCGCCGCTACTCTATCTACTCTCTCATTCTCTCTATATGGTATTGCAAATGGCCGCCATGCGATCTATTGTTGTTGTTATTGCTATTTCAAGCTAGTGATGGTATATTTAATAATATACATTGTAATGCGTGAGTGAGTTGCTGCTGCTGCTGCTGCTAAACAAATGCGTGCATCGTTCATTAAACAATAATATAATGTTGTACTATGGTACATGTGTACTATATATGTATATGTTAAACAAATAATTATTATTAATTATGCCTGCCATCTGCCGGCGGCTGCCGCTGCCACTGCCACTGCCGCTGCCGCATATATAAAATGCATCAAAAATTATAATTATAATATGAATATAAATAAAACGTTCATTATTTATTTGTCGCCTGCCATCTGCCATTTGCCGCCATATAATATATTAAAAATCATTTAATTAATTGTGTACACCATCATATTGTGAATATAAATAAAACGTTCATTATTTATTTGTCGCCTGCCATCTGCCATTTGCCGCCATATAATATATTAAAAATCATTTAATTAATTGTGTACACCATCATATTGTTGTGTAAATGTCGTCAGGAAACATCAATCAGCAATCAGCAATATACTGGCAATGGTCAAGCCGAAATGATGCAATGCTTCAATGTTGCAATGCCCTGTGCTGCTATACACTGCCTATACAATAACAAACAACTCAACAACACAACAAACTGTATG